AAACAATACAATGGGACACGATGAATGAAACATTAACAGCATAACACTTACCTTTATTGGAGATTCTTCTTAGTGTATGGAAGACTGGAGGAGGAGAGAGATTGGATTAGTTACTGTTTGGAAGGGGAATCCCCTTCCATCAACACCTCAGGTACCAAGTCCTTTTCCGGAGTTACATACTTCTCTTCTCTGTTTCTTAATGCCACTAGGACCAGCTTGAGAGTCACTGGAGTCCTGTCTCACAAAAAAAGTGTCCAGAGAGCTCTGTTTCTGGCGTCTCTTTAAAACTTCCCTAAAATGGGCCAAGACTCTGTCACTGTACAAGTTGCCAATATGGCTTCCAACAACCTTCTCAGGGTGATGTTTCTCCATAAATCTTTCCATCCTACCCCACATTTCAAAAATCTCCTTAATTTCTGAAGAAGGCGCCTTCTTCCATCTCTCTTCCTCCTCCTCTGCAGCAAGATTCTGAGCTGCGATCTGTTGCTGCTCCTGCTGAAGCTCTTGCAGCTCCTCAGTGGTTAGCTCTTCATTGTGGTCCTCCACCAACTCTTCCACATCCTCCAAACTCACATCCAACCCCATGGAACTCCCCAATGCCGCAACAGATTTCACAACTGACATAGGCTCATCAGGGTCAGCCACAAACCCTTCAAAATCCCTCTTGTGGACACAATCTGGCCACGATTTTCTCCAAGCAACAACAGATTCCTTGATTTTGTTTTTCTTTGCCACGATGGAAGATATGGTTATATGGGGCTTGTTATACATCCTGGTCAGTTCAGCCACACGTATGCCACTTTCATATTGTTCAATGATGCTTTTCTTAAATTCAATCATATTTCTCACCGTCTTTACCAAGGGCTTGGCACTAGGAGCTTTCTTTGAAGCCATGGTAGCTTATTTAGCACTTGCAAGCACTAAAATGAATGGAATATTATGAAATATTTCATATGAAGAAGTGAGGGGACTGTCGCTCACTGGTAAACAATGGCACACTGGCTGGGAAGGGAGGCTGAGGTGGCTCAGAGCCGTGAGTACGTGTCCAGGATGAACGACGATTAGCGAGTCAACCAACCATTTGCAAGCCAATGTTTGGATGAAAATAATGCGACGATTTCCGAAAAGGACGACTATCGAGCCCGATGATTATCGAGGGACCACTGTACAGTGTTTGAACTCTGAAAGAGAGGTGTTCATGCTGCAGTTTTATAACTGTAGTGTAAGTGCACCCCTGGCAAGACAGTGATAGAGAGAATGATGAAAGTTTCTCATTTTCAGGCCACCCTGCCTTGGTGTTAGTAATAAAAAAAAATTTAAACAGTTCATAGAATGGAGAGGATTTTAACACAAGGCATGCTATCAAAACTTTGGGGCCCAGTCCCTGGACCCATTATGTACCTCTGTAATCTGTAAATACCTTTGTAACTTGTCATGATTGTGACCATATCTACTTGGAGTTCATTACCTTTGCAACTTGCTCCACTATCAAAGCTTTGGGGCCCAGTACCTGGACCCATTATGTACCTCTGTAATCTGTATATACCTTTGTAACTTGTCATGATTGTGACCATATCTACCTGGAGTTCATTACCTTTGTAACTTGCTCAGCTATGAAAACTTTGGGGCCCAGTCCATGGACCCATTATGTACCTCTGTAATCTTTTGACTACCACCCACAGGATGGATATGGGGGTGCATAATAAACATATTAAACTAAAGGCATGCCCAAGGCATGCCAGTGTTCTAACTATTACACCATGCAGGCCATATAAGATTCCTCCAACTAGTGCCTTTACCTTTCTGTCCCTGTGGGCTGGTGCTAGACCAGGCCTCCTGATGGATAAAGGCCTGATCCACCAAGCTTTTACTTCTGGCTGCATGCAATGCAACAAACCACAGCCCGGTTGATCATGAACCAAGCTGGGAAACTTGTCCAATTCCCTCAAAGACAACCAGAGGTTTGTATGTAATTCATGTTATGCATTACAGAGGGCACTGAAGAGTCGAGGACCTCTGACACTCAGTGAGTTCTCTCTTAGTGTATTCACTGTCCCTGCTTTTTTAGTGAAGTTAAATTGCACTGTCTGACAAGTCTTTTTACATAGAGTGATTCTATTGTGGAAGTTTGGAACCAATCCCTCCAGAATTTTCCAGGAGTAAATTATGATGTACCCTTCTTGCCATGGGCTCAAATTTTGTTTGTTCTGTGAGTTCTCTTTTAATCAGAAAGCATGATAAAATTTCCAAATAAAATTTTAAATTTCACCTAAAATTTAAATTTTCCAAAATTTATTTTTTATTAGAAATCTAAGTTACATATTCAAATTGGGAAGAATTCCAAATGAGGCAAATTATTACATCAAATGTCACTTTCTTGTTTTTTGTTTACCACACCAGTCATCTCTCACGAAAGTCGGTTAACCCACAAATGGAAACACATTAACTATCATTTATTCAATAGCTGCCGTAGGAGATGTGCACAGACATCACAATTCAAATAAATTTCTTACCTGCAACATTCCTATCTCTCCAGGACACAAGTCTGGCTAACTAATTTCCCTGAATCTTTACATGAATGTCATTTTGTTCACTTCAACAGCATCTCAGATCTTAAAAACCATTTGCCTCCATTCACTACAATCTAACACAGTCACACACTCCTGCTAGATGCTCAAGAACTTTTTTTTTTTTTTCAACAAGTCGGCCGTCTCCCACCGAGGCAGGGTGACCCAAAAAGAAAGAAAATCCCCAAAAAGAAAATATTTTCATCATCATTCAACACTTTCACCTCACTCACACATAATCACTGTTTTTGCAGAGGTGCTCAGAACACAACAGTTTAGAAGCATATACGTATAAAGATACACAAACTGCTAATATACTCCAAAATGCTAATATCCCGAATCCCCTCCTTTAGAGTGCAGGCACTGTACTTCCCATTTCCAGGACTCAAGTCCGGCTATATAAAAATAACCGGTTCCCTTGAATCCCTTCACTAAATATTACCCTGCTCACACTCCAACAGATCGTCAGGTCCCAAATACCATTCGTCTCTATTCACTCCTATCGAACACGCTCATGCATGCCTGCTGGAAGTCCAAGCCCCTCGCCCACAAAACCTCCCTTACCCCTTCCTTCCAACCTTTTCGAGGACGACCCCTACTCCGCCTTCCTTCTCCTACAGATATAAATGCTCTCCATGTCATTCTACTTTGATCCATTCTCTCTAAATGACTAAACCACCTCAACAACCCCTCTTCAGCCCTCTGACTAATACTTTTATTAACTCCACACCTTCTCCTAATTTCCACACTCCGAATTTTCTGCATAATATTTACATAAGAACATAAGAACATAAGAAAGGAGGAACACTGCAGGAGGCCTGCTGGCCCATACTAGGCAGGTCCTTTACAATTCATCCCACTAACAAAACATTTGCCCAACCCAATTTTCAATGCCACCCAAGAAATAAGCTCTGATGTGAAAGTCCCACTCAAATCCAACCCCTCCCACTCATGTACTTATCCAACCTAGATTTGAAACTACCCAAAGTCCCAGCCTCAATAACCCAACTAGGTAGACTGTTCCACTCATCAACTACCCTATTTCCAAACCAATACTTTCCTATGTCCTTTCTAAATCTAAACTTATCTAATTTAAATCTATTACTGCGGGTTCTCTCTTGGAGAGACATCCTCAAGACCACACATTGCCCTTAGACAGGACATCTCCACTGCCTCCAACTGCCTCCTCGCTGCTGCATTCACAACCCAAGCTTCACACCCACATAAGAGTGTTGGTACTACTATACTTTCATACATTCCCTTCTTTGCCTCCATAGATAACGTTTTTTGACTCCACATATACCTCAACACACCACTCACCTTTTTTCCCTCGTCAATTCTATGATTAACCTCATCCTTCATAAAACCATCCGCCAACACGTCAACTCCCAAGTATCTGAAAACATTCACTTCTTCCATACTCCTCCTCCCCAATTTGATATCCAATTTTTCTTTATCTAAATCATTTGATACCCTCATCACCTTACTCTTTTCTATGTTCACTTTCAACTTTCTACCTTTACACACACTCCCAAACTCATCCACTAACCTTTGCAATTTTTCTTTAGAATCTCCCATAAGCACAGTATCATCAGCAAAAAGTAACTGTGTCAATTCCCATTTTGTATTTGATTCCCCATAATTTAATCCCACCCCTCTCCCGAACACCCTAGCATTTACTTCAAGAACTTACCAATTAAAAATATCTATGCATCCTCCCTCCAACAATTACTGGAATGGTTCTTACCCCTCATTCCTTCCATTCCAGATTTATACACCCTCTTTAGTCATATTATTAAGCTCTACCTTTTCTAAGTGACCAAACCACCAAAACAATTCCTTCTCTGCCCTCAGAATTGCATCTTTTGTAACAACACACCATCTTCTAATTTCTTGGCACCTATATATAATACTTACAACACACAGTGCTCTCAAACATGACATCTTCACTGCCTCCAGCCGCCTCCTTGCTGCATGTTTAAAGACCATGCTTCACACTCATACAAAAGTAATGTTACTACAATACTCAGGTACATTTCCCATTTTTTGCCTCCAAAGACAAACTTTTCTTTCCACAGACACTTCAACACTCCACCCACCTTTTTCTCCTCATCTGTTCTATGGTTTATCTTGTCTTTTGTAGACCCATCTGTCAACATCCACTCCTAAATATCTCAATATATTCACTTCTTTCATATTCATCAAACACTGATTAAAGAACTCGCTTATGATTAAAATGAATTTTAACATAGCATTTCTTATAATGGAATACTACAGTATACTTTTATCAGTGGCACTGAAGGAGCCAATGTCCAACAGAAAATCTGTTATTATTTTTGATTAAAAATGCTGTACTGCATCTGGTAAACAAACAATTGAATATATGGACAAAGAGAAGGATACATAATAAATATAAGTACAATGAAGTCTTACCTCAGCTGATCACAAGCATCTTGTAAAGGAGTGTTGGGGAAACTGACATCTGCTTCATCCTCACCACCTTCAAACACAAACACCTCTGAAACGAGGGCTATCTTCATCACTTCAGAACAATTAGGTAAATGGGCAAATATGAAATATTCTGTACAATAACTAGCCTTAAGCAACATTTTTCCCACTGGACACTTCGAGAAGGCTCAGTGTTTATAATCATATAGAGTAAGGTTATGCATATTTTTATGAATGTTCTTTCTTCTTTCTTTCAATGCACTGGCCATATCCCACCTAAGCAGGGTGGCCCAAAAACAAAAATGAAAGCTTCTCTTTATAAATTTAGTAATGTATACAGGAGAAGGGGTTACTAGCCCCTTGCTCCCGGCATTTTAGCCGCCTCTGATGACACGCATGGCTTACGGAGGAATTCTTTTCAACTTCTCCATGCAGATGAGGAAATAAAGAAGAACGAGAACTATTAAGAAAATAGAAGAAAACCCAGATGGGTGTGTATATATATGCATGTGCAGTGTGTAAGTAGAAGTAGCAAGATATACCTGTTATCTCGTATATTTATGAAACAGAAAAAAGACATCAGCAATCCTGCCACTGTGTAAAACAATTACAAGTTTCCATTTCACACTCACTTGGCAGGATGGCAGAATCCCTCAGTGGTTGATGTCTACCAACCTACTCCCTAAATATAAATATAAATCTTTCTTTCTTTCAACACACCGGTTGTATCCCACCGAGGCAGGGTGGCCCAAAAAGAAAAACGAAAGTTTCTCTTTTTAAATTTAGTAATTTATACAGGAGAAGGGGTTACTAGCCCCTTGCTCCCGGCATTTTAGTCGCCTCTTACAACACACATGGCTTACGGAGGAAGAATTCTGTTCCACTTCCCCATGGAGAATAAATATAAATACATATACTATTTATTTTATTTTTTCAACATGTCACCCATCTCCCACTGAGACAGCGTGACCCAATAAAGAGAAAGACTTTCACCATCATTCACACACACTCACTATCTTTGCAGAGGCACCCAGATATGACAGTTCAGATGTCACTCCAAACAGCCAATATCCCAGACCCCCTCCTTTAAAGTGCAGGCATTCTACATCCCACCTCCAAGACTCAAGTCTGGCTAACCAGTTTCCCTGAATCTCTTCACAAAATATTACTACCCTGCTCACACTCCAACAGCATGTCAAGTCCCAAAAACCATTCTTCTCCACTCACTCTTATCTAACATGCTCACACATGCTTGCTGTATGTCTAAGCCCCTTGCATAAAAACCTCTTTTTCCTCCTTCTCCATCCTGTCCTAGGACAACCCCTACAGATTTATACACCCTCCAAGTCATCCTAATTTGCTCCATCCTCTCTAAATGACCAAACTATCTCAACAACCTTTCCTCAGCCCTCTGAATAATACTCTTAGCAAATCCATACCACCTCCTGATTTCCACACTATGAATTCTCTACATAATATTTACACCACACACTGCCCTTAGCATTTACAACCCAAGCTTCACACTCTTATAAGAGTGTTGTTACCACTTATACTCTCATGCATTTCCTTCTTTGCCTCTATGGATAATGTTCTTTGTCTCCACAGATACCTCAATGCACCAACCTTTTTTTCCTTCATCAATTCTCTGGTTTACCTTGTCTTTCATAAACCTGTCTGCCGACACATCTACTCTCAAATGTCTGAACACATTCACTTCTTCCATACTGCCTCCCTCCAATGTGATATACAATTTTTCTTTACCTAACTCGTTTGATACTTTCATCACCTTATTCTTATCTATGTTCACTTTCAACTTTCTTCCTTTACACACCCTCTCAAACTCATCCACTAACATTTTCATCCTCTCTTTAGAATCTTCCAAAAGCACAGTATCATCAGCAAAAAGCAACTGTGATGACTAGGAGGGTGTATAAACCTGTTGTGCAGGGAAGGCAGGGTAGGGGTCATCCTAGGAAGGGATGGAGGGAGGGGGTAAAGGAGGTTTTGTATACAATGGGCTTGGATATTCAGCAGGCGTATGTAAATATGTTACATAGGAGTGGAGGCAAATGGTTTTTGGGACCTGCTGAGCTGTTGGAGTGTGAGCAAGGTAACATTTTGTGAAGGAATCCAGGAAAACTGTTTAGCCGGATTTGAGTCCTGGAGGTGGGAAGTACAGTGCCTGCACTCTAAAGAGGGGTAGGGATATTTGCTGTTTGGAGGGACATCTGGACTGTCATATCTATGCATCTCTGGAAGACAATGATAGTGTAAATAATAGTGAAAGTTTCATTTTTGGGTCACCCTACCTTGGGAGACGGCCAGTGTGTTAAAAAAATAAATATTGTATAATTAACAACAGCAGTAAGAGAGGAAAAGTTAGCATATGAGGGGTTTTTACATAATAAAAGTGATACAAGGAGGGAGGAATATACAGAGAGAAAAAGAGAGGTTAAGAGAGTGGTGAAGGAATGTAAAAAGAGAGCAAATGAGAGAGTAGGTGAGATGTTATCAACAATTTTTGTTGAAAATAAGAAAAAGTTGTAGAGTGAGATTAATAAGTTAAGAAAGAATAGAGAACAAATGGATTTGACAGTTAAAAATAGGAGAGGAGAGTTATTAGATGGAGAGTTAGAGGCATCAGTAAGATAGAGGGAATATTTTAAGGAATTGTTAAATGTTGATGAGGATAGGGAAGCTGTGATTTTGTGTATTGGGCAGGGAGGAGTAACATCTTGTAGAAGTGAGGAAGAGCCAGTTGTGAGTGAGGGGGAAGTGCATGAGGCAGTGGGTAGAATGAAAGGGGGTAAAGCAGCTAGAACTTATGGGATAAAGACAGAAATGTTAAAAGCAAGGGGGGTTATAGTTTTGGAATGGTTAGTTCTTTTATTTAATAAATGTATGGAAGAGTGTAAGGTTCCTAGAGATTGGCAGAGAGCATGCATAGTTCCTTTGTATAAAGGCAAAGGGGACAAAATAGAATGTAAAAATTAAAGAGGAATAAATTTGTTGAGTATACCTGGTAGTGTTATTATTGAAAGAATTAAGAGTAAGAAGGATGGCAGATGAACAAGGAGGCTTTAGGAAGGGTAGGGGGTGTGCAGACCAAGTGAAACATATAGGTGAACTTTAGGTAAGGGTAAAGAGGTTTTTATGGCATTTATGGATTTCGAAAAGGCATATGATAGGGTGGATAAGGGGGCAATGTGGCAGATGTTGCAAATGTATGGAATAGGAAGTAGGTTAGTGAAAGCAGTGAAGAGCTTTTTACAAGGATAGTGAGGCTCAGGTTAGAGTATGTAGGAGAGAGGTAGATTATTTCCCAGCAAAAGTAGGCCTTAGGGATTGTAAAAGAAGTGAATGCTCGGGTGCTGGCAAGAGGAATGGGGTTAAAAGATAAAGAATCTAACACAAAGTTGTAGTTGTCACAGTTCCTCTTGGCCGATGACACTGTGCTTTTGGGAGATTCTGAAGAGAAGTTGCAGAGGTTGGTGGACAAGTTTGGTAGGGTGTGTAAAAGAAAGAAATTAAAAGTGAATATAGGAAAGAGCAAGGTGATGAGGACAACAAAAAATTGAGGTAATGAAAGACTGGATATCAGATTGGAGGGAGGGAGTATGGAGGAGGTGATTGTATTCACATATTCAGGAGTGGATGTGTCAGCAGATGGGTCTATGAGAGATGAAGTGAATCATGCATGTGTTAGATAGAAGTGAGTGGAGACAAATGATTTTTAGGACTTGACATGCTGTTGAGTGTGAGCAAGGTAATATATAGGAAGGTATTCAGGGAAACCAGCAAGCTGGACTTGATTCCTGGAGGTGGAAAGTACAGTGTCTGCACTCAGAATTAGGGGTGTTAATGTTGCAGGATCATAGCTGTAGTAAGCATACCTTTTGCAAGACGGTAATGGAGTGAATGATGATGAAAGTTTTTCTTTATTGAGCCACTGCCTTGGTGGGAAATGGGCAATGTGTTAATAAAAAAAATAAATAAATAAATAAACAAATGACATAGTATTAGTGTACAGCCTCTCCTCATTTAACGACAGAGTTCCGTTCCTAAGACCACGCTGGTAAACGAATTCGTCGCTAAGTGAGGAGCATACTATAAGGGTAGTGGGTGTATGTCATTCATCTTTGATATTGTTTTAACCCTTTGAGGGTCAGTCATGTACATGTAAGTCTTAACAGCCAGTGTTGGTCACGTACTGATACGCCAAAATTCTAGCGCCTTTAAATCTGGTGGAAGAAAGCTGGCAGGCCTACATATGAAAGAATGGGTCTGCATGGTCAGTGTGCGCAGTATAAAAAAAAAAAAAAATCCTGGAGCACGCAGTACATAATGAAGGAAAAAAATTCCATGTTTTTGGTTTAAAACAGCAACTTTGCAGTGTATTTTCATATGGTATTTATGGCTGTATTCTCGTTTTCTTGGTCTCATTTCACAGAATGGAAGATATATCAAAGTACCTTGAAACTGAGCTCAAAGTAGCAGAAATGTTCAACTTTTGCCAATGTTCAAGAGTAAACAAATCATGCCATGTGGCCAATATACATCAACTGGTGAATCTAATATTCTTTCACAAGTGCATTGATATTATTTATACCATTTTTACAATAATGCAGTAGTCTGCATAACAGAAAATCTTCTATTTTTTGTGAGAATAAAAATTCAAAATGGAAAGATGTGACTAATGAACAGAGAAAATGTTATTTTAGTGCCAGGAATGTTTGTCTTGTTTATTCTGGACCCTATTTTTAAACTGGCATCTTCTGAAATTTGTGTGAAATTGGCCAAAATGCCAATTTCTGACCACTTTATTGGGTAGCTGAAATCGGTAAATGGTCAGTTTCTTGTACTCAATCGATAGAAAAAATGGAGTTCTAGCAAAATAGCTATGATTTTAGTCGACTGGAACATTGGAATTGGCCATAAATAGGGCTCAAAGTGGGCAAAATCGCCAATGCGTAAATATCGCCAAGACCACTAACTTCGCAAGAGCAAAATTCCGTAAGTTTTCCAACAAATTTCATACATTTGGTGTCATTACCACCAGGAAAAGATTCT